ACTTGAATATTTGCATTTCATATTCAAATATAACAAAATTATATTTATCAATATTTTTTATATATAATAAACTATTATGTATAATATATGAGCTTTTAATGATAATGAAACTTTTTTATTGAACGTTTTCGGTTGGTTTAATCAAAATCGTCTGTTAAATTTATTTCATTTTCTATGTATGATAGTAAACAGAATATTTGTATAAATGTGAAACACAAAACACAATCTAGTAAGACATGCTTCATTCGTTTACTTACTCATTTACATCATACAAATATGGATTATTCTTCATATACCGGTCCTAGCGAAGATTGTTACAGATGCGTCTCAAATATTTTGAACCAGCCAAATATCTATCTATCTGACAGCCGAGAACGAGCCATGTATAAGCGAGGGAATCCTCGCAATCTTCTCTGTCGAGCTGTTAATTATATCGATTGCATAGCGTGCGCGATTTCAATGTCGAATGGCGAATTCTATCGATTCCATGCAATGTCGCTTCTTGTTGTTAGGATTACATTCGTCGTTCGTTATCACACATTTAATAAACAATGATCGTTAAAATTTTGTATATCGTCAATAATTTTGAAATTTTACTCAATAAAATAGTTTACGAAACGACCTGTAGAAGAAAAGAGAATTAAATAAAATGTCATCTATACAAATACTAAAATAATAATAAGATTATTCTAAGGTGCATTTAAAAATAAGAAAAATTTAACGGCGTTCTGATGAAAATCTGAATAAATAATTATTTAAGTAAATAAGTAGAAATATAATCTAATGGAAATGTAAATAGGAAATAATAATAAAAATCTTAATTTCTTTATATAAGTATTTATATAAGTATTTATATAAGTATTTTAAATGTCCAAGATTATTTGTAAATAACATTTTATTGTACATCAGTCGTAATTTTATTGTACCATCAGTCGTTTCGTTTGTACTTTTAATAAAAATTTAATTTTTATTTGTAAAATAGCTAAATGTCTGCATCACTATGAAATTTTACATAAATCATTTTGAAACATAATTTAATTTTATTTATACAAAAAAAATCAGATTTTTGTCGTTATTTCATAATTACGTTTTATTAAAGCACATTTCTACTTTGTGTTTAAATAATTTTTAATCTGAGTTCTAAACCGCCGCAAAATGTTTTATATTATTTTTATTAAATGTAATCTAGAATAATTTTTTCGTTGTAAATAAAAATAGACGTAATATAGCCTATTTAAAAAAATAGCAATCAACTATAGACATACGAAAGCATAATTGTCTATATATATTCACTTTTACATCTATTTCCGTATTTCCGCGCACCGTAAACGAAGAAAGTTGGTGTTAGAAAATTTAACTTTATCGAATTTAACTTTATCAAATTTGATCTCGCGTTTCGAGTTGTGTCATGGGATGATGACTCGGTTCCGGGTACATACCTATCGCGGTGACCTGATCCGTTGGGAGTTCACCGACGCGTCGCCGACGTCGATTCGACATCGTGGCGCCGGATACGTGACGAGCACGACGAG